TGTGAAGTTAGGTTGCTGATTTGAGTTTTATCTTTGTTTATAGCTGTACATGTCCCCCTTAGCACTGCTTTCTGTGCATCACATGAGTCCTCCTTTGGTATGTTGTGTTTTCATTTTCACTCATCTCTGTATTTTCTAATTATTCCTTTGTGATTTCTTTGACCCACTGGTTGTTTGAAAGTGTGTTAAGTTTCACAATTTTGTGACTTTTCCAGTTTCCTTTACATCATTGATTTCTAATCTCATTCCGTTGTGATCAGAGAAGATACTTTGTGTATCTATCTTTTTTAAATCTCCTAAGATTTAATGTGTGGCCAATATTTGGTTGATGTGTTGTATAGTGTGGTTTGAGCTACACATGTTGAAGTTTTTTTGCATTTCTGAAATAAATTGCATTTGTTCATGGTGTTTGTTTTGTTATTGTTTTATTTGGTTTGTTAAAATTTTTTTTAAAGATTTAAAAACCTTTTATCAGATATTGGCCTGCCACTTTTTTTCTTTCTTTCTTCTTCTTCTTCTTCTTTTTTAATATCACTGCCTTCTAATAAGCAAATGTCCAAACCAGAGATTACCATGGCCAATTCTCAAACGTTAAAAAATAATTTAATACCTGTTCTTCTAAAATTTTTCCAAAAAACTGAAGTGGAGGGAATGTTTCCTGACTCACTTTAAGAGGCCAGCATTGCCCAGTTACTAAAGTCAGACAGGTTCTTCAGTCTTCTCTTTGTTGGCAGTCTTGCTTTGTTTATCTACTCTTCTCCTGAGTTCAGTGACTGTCTCTATGATCATGCTTTGAGCTATCCATCAGGTCAGTTACTTCTCTCCCTTTCATTATCTTACTCTTTCATTTGAGATGTGTTTATCTGTGTTTTCTCATTTTGCTTTATTCTGTGTTTGTTTCTCTGGATTAGCCAAAACAGCACCTTAGTGCCTTGGGAGTAGATTTCTGCCAGGAACTAATTCTACAATTGTTACAGCTTAGTAAGGCCCAGGAATGCAGATTTCTCTGGCTGTCAGTGCCTGGGCACTCCTTGTATGGACGGCCTGGGCCCAGAGCTTTAACTTTGTTTTGGACAAACATTGGGTTGGATGCTTAAACCAGGATAGCAGAAAGGTCTGCCTGATGAATGTGCAAGGAAGCTTGACTTCTCCATGGCTTTAGTTTTGCTATTTGAGAGTGCTGGCCCCAACATCTGTTTGTTCCTGCAAGTCACAACAATTGCTGTGAGTCACTCTGCAGGGGTGGGGTTCTGGGTAAGATCACATCTCTGTCTTTTCTGCCAGTAATCAGTGTGTCCTTTGTCTTTTGATGATGTGTCTTTTTGCCTTTTATTTTTCAAGGGGATTACTCCATATGTAGGTATCTATTTAAAGTGTTCAAGGGAGAAAGTGAGCTCAGGGTCTTTGAATACCACCATCTTCCAGGGAATCCCAAAATTTTATTCTTTCGTCAGTAGTCAAGTCATGAATTTTAAGGTGTGTTTGGCATGGATTTATCCTGTTTGGGTTAGCTTTCTCTGTCACTCAGATTTGATCAATTATATTAGCCTATAGTGTTCATAGATCATTCTGTTGATCTGGTAAGGATACTGATTGTATCATCTCATCTCCAATGTACTACTGAGCCATTCCACTGACTTTTTCACTTATGTTACTCTGTTCTTCAATTTTATAATTCTCTCTTGTTTTTTGTTTTTATAACTCTGTTCTTTTCTGAGAATTTTTATTTTTTCATTGTTTCAAGAGAATTAATTTATAAGAATTAATTGCTGAAGAATTTTTATGATAGCTGCTTTTTTTTTTTAAAGCACAATTTTTTTTTATTTGTTTATTTGTTTGTTTTGTTTATACATGCACTGGGTACAGTCAGAAGCGCCGGAGGGTGAGGGAATTCACCAGAGCCAGAGCTGGGAGCAGAACAGGCAGAAGGACCGAAGCACACTGCTGAGGAGAGCAGAGGGCGGCAGGAGAGGTCTGCGCGCCATGTGGAACCCTCCTTAGGTGGCCAGGGAGCAGCTGGGGATCGAACTGGCACTGCAGAGGCTGCGGGCAGCTTTGCAACCCAGCGCTCAACCGCTGCGCCACCGGGGAGGCCCATGATAGCTACTTTTAAATGCTTGTCAGATTATTCTACTTGGTCTATTCATTTGTTTCATCTGGTGTTGGTGGCAATTCATTATTTTGTTCAAGTAATGATTTTCTTGGTTTTGGTATGACAGATGATTTTTTTCTTGCATCACAAACATTTTGCCTACTATGTCAGGAGACTTTAGATTCTATTTAATTATTTCGTTTTAGCAGGTAGTCACTTTGTGTAGGTTGAGCATGTGCGTCCTAAATGACTTTCATGCCTTATGATTCCAACATCAGCTTAATTTTCAGAGCCTTTGCAGTATAATATTGCTTGGGCTCCCCTTGATCTCGCTGGTGCTATCTGAAGGCATGTGGAAAGGATTTCTGCAGATTGACCTTTTGAGGGGGTTCTCTCGCTGGAGGAGGGGAGTCTTAGGCCAGCAGGCTAGTCAGGATGCTTGTGTGGCAGGTTCCTCTGACCAGTGTCCCTGACAGCTCCCAGGGCTGTCAGTGTGGGAGTGGGGAGTCTCAGGTCACAAAGAAAGGGGGTTCTCCACCTGAGCTAATTCTTGTCACGGAGTGCCTCTTTCCAATGCCTCGAGCCATCAAAATAACTCTTGGTGAGTCTCAGTCCCAGCAGTAAATACAGGCCAATTTTACTTGTTTTTTTAGGATAGGTAGAGAGTAGGGGGTCTCACTATCTCCTTGTACATATGCACTTAGCACGGATTTGTAATTATGCATGTAATAAAGCACAGTCTTGTCTAAAAATAAAGAGATAATTGACATGTGATAATTCATGTATGTATATTGTAATACTCAGATCTACCACTATAAAGACTATAAAAAGAGATACAATCACTACAAAAACTATACAAAGAGATGCACTGAAAAACACAAAGTAAATTAGGATGAAATCCAAAAAAGTGTTTAAAGAACTTGCCAGGAACTCAAGAGAAGATTAACAGGAGAAAGAATAGGAAATGAATAGGAAATAAATAATAAATAGCAGGCTTAAGGGCTGATATATCAGTAGTAACTTTAAATGTATATATTCTAAATATTCCAAGTACTGGAGATTAATGGAATAGATTAAATAGAATGACCCCAATTCAGAGGCATTGGTAGTAGATTGAGTAAAAGATTAGAAAAACAAATAGCAATCCAAAGAGCAGGAGTGCCTATATTACTACTAGGTTGAATAGAGTGCAAAACAATACTAGAGACATCCTAATAAGAAGGACATATCCACATGAAATGAATATACACTACACATCAGAGGTCAAAATAAATCAAGTAACAACTGACATGGTTGAATGGCAGGAAAAAGATCCAAATTGCAGTTAATCATTCGGGTCGAATTGATGTAGACCTTACTACCCAGCAGCAGCAGAATACGCATTTTTTTTTCTGAATGTCTATGGAACATTCACCAAGATAGACTATGTCTTAGGCCTTGAAACAAACCTGAGCAGATTTACTAGAATTGAAATCTTTTACAGTGTGTCCTCTGGTCACAATGAAATCAAACTAGAAATCAGTAATAGAAATGAAAGGAACATCTCAAAATATGTGGAAAGTAAAGAATATGTTCCTAAAAAAAATAACAGATTTTTGAGGAAGTCTCAAAGGAATTAAAAAATACATAGCACTGACTTATAAGTAAAACGTTGTATTTAGGAAGTAACTCAAGCAGTGCTCACAGGGGAATTTAGAGCAATAAATGCTTACATTAGAGATGAAGAACGATCTTATGTCAGAAATCATTGAAAATCTAAATAAATGTGAATGTAAATCTAAATAGATTTTAATGGATTGGAAAACTCAGTATAGTAAAACATTTACCCCTATATTTAGTGTACATAGGGTTCAGTACATCTGTGGTTTCAGGCATCCTCTGGGAATCTTGGAATGTATCCTTCCCAGCTAAGCAGTACTGATTTTATGCTGAATTCTGTGCTTGTTTATATATAGTGTGTGTGTTTGTGTACGTATGTATGTATATGCATATGTTTATGTATAGGCTACCCATCTGTGTCTTCTGGTTTGTTGTTGCTGTTGTTAATTGCATCATATTTTAGTTATTAGTGTCAAATTCTTGGTTGTCTTGGATGACCTCTTCTGTTTGACCCTCTAATGGGGAATGCCAATGATTGTACCTCTTTAATACCCTTCTCCTTACCTCTACTAACTAATAGTATGAGTCAAGTCATCCTAACCTCTTTTGCGTAACCTTCTCACAAGTTGCACTTTTACTGAAATCAAGCTCATATTACATAGAGCTAGTGTATGGATCTTTTGAATGATTCCTTAAAAAGCTCGATATTATCTTGTGATTCTAACCCTAAGTTGGTCTGCAGTATTTCTTCACATTACCCATTGTTACTACTGTGGTTTTGGCACTCATATGCAATAGTGTTTTTTTTTTTTTAATAGTCTGTTTCTAATACTTATGCCTCCTGTCCACTCAACAGGATCAGTGTGTTCATGTTCTATTATTTGATTAATGTAGAGTATGTTCCAGGATGCATTCCCTGTTCACCCTCCATTATTTAGAGTGGAGATTTTCTTTCATGTGAATGCTGCTCCCATTTTCTAGGAGCCTATTTTATGTATCTCTTGGAACTATATATTATTGCATTAATATTATTTGAGGAAGTTAGATGAATTTGAAAATGAAAGCATCAGTGGGTTTCCCTATAGAACTTTCAGAGTTAATGAATCATAGGTTTATTTCATTGGATTTTAGAAAATTCAAGGCACTATCAAAACACTACAATACTATGTTAATTTTCTGCATCATGTAGGCTCCAGTAGGGGTATTTTTAGTTATGAAACACATGGCTTCTTGTAAATGATGCCTTGGTGTTTTGTTTCTCTGCTTTGAGGATTTTACTTAAATTACCATTTGATTTTTGCTTTTATAGTCAATGCTTCGAGGGAGAGGAGGGTGCTATAAGCATACATTCTATGGCATTGAAAGCCATCGTTGCATGGAAACCACCCCAAGTTTGGCCTGCGCAAATAAATGTGTCTTCTGTTGGCGGTAAGTAAAAATGAACAGCCATGGTGACTAAACATGTCATGACTTGCATAATCAATTTTTGACCCAATACTCCAATCAGACTTTCCTAGAGTTCTGCTGTTTCTTAATTAAATCACTTCCCCATTCCTAATGTTAAATATTTGTGCATTTGGATGTATTTTTCTTGACAAGTTTTATAAGGGTTTTGTCAAATATTTTAGTCTTTTGAAGACCTAGATTTTAGCTTTGTGAATTGTCTTCGTTATCTTTGCTTTCTATTTCAATAATCTGCTATTGTCCCCCATTCTTTTTCTAACATAAATCAGAAAATTAGTTCATTAATATTCTTACTTCTAAAGTCTTCAATTATAAATTTTCCTTTAAGTATTTCTTTAGCTACTTTCTAGACATATTCGTACTCAGTTTAATTGAAAATGTCATAATGTCGTTGTAACTCATGGGTCAAAGAAGTATTTTTATCTATTACACATAGATTAGATTTTTGGGATTATATTTTTGTAACTAAATTTCAACCAAATTGTATTATTATATATAGTTTGTAATATTTTACTTTTTTAAAAAAAGATTTATTTTTATTTATGTATCTAATTTTTTAACTTATACTATCAGATTTTAGTGCAATTAAAAGTAAAAAAGGTAAATTTTATTTTCCTTATTTTTTTCTTTTCCAGCACTTACTTTTTGTAAAGATCCAAGTTCCTATTTAGTATCATGTTTCTTTTTCCTGTAAAATTCCCTTTAACATATATTTAATGTAGGTTTGTTGACAAGGAAATCTCATACTTTTTAAAGATATTGTCACTGGGTATAGAATCTTGGTCTGACAAGGTTTGTTTTGTTTTTGCTAGTTTTTTTTCTCTTTTAAGTATTCTTCCCAGATATCACTATAGTTTCATCTATACTTTCTTTTTGATGAGATGTCATAGATAACTTTTATTGTTGTTCTTATGTGAGATGTTTTTCTTTTCTCTAAAGACCTAAAGACCTTTTCTCTAAAGATTTTCTAAGTTTATTTTGTTTTTTTATCAATTTGGAGAATGTATTGTTAGTCTTTTTTTCCTTTGTAAAATATCTGGTGGGTGTTTGCAAGCTTCTTGGGTCTGTGGTTAATTGTTTCTCATTAGCTTTGAGAAATTGTAGGTCATAATTTTTCTATTATTCTGCTTTGTTCTTTGTTTTCCTTCTGGTATTCCAATTATGCATATTTTGGGCCTTTGAATATTGTCTTACAGGTCTTGGACACAGTGTTCTTTTTTTCACATTTCTTTTTTGTCTTTGTGCTTTATTTGACTTATTTACATTGGTCTCAAAGTCTTGTTTCTTTATTTTTACTCTTTCCTCAGCTGTTTTTATTCTATAGTTGAGTCTGTTGAAGGCTGACTTTTTCATATTTAACATTTCTATTTGATTATGTGTTATAATTTTCCTCTCTGCTAAATTTACCTATCTGATCTTGCATATTGCACACAAATATCTATTAGTGCTTTTAACATATTAATCGCAGTTAAAAAATTTCCCTGTTAGTGGCCTCCCCGGTGGCGCAGCGGTTGAGCGCTGGGTTGCGAAGCTGCCTGCGGCCTCTGCGGCACCGGTTCGATCCCCGGCTGCTCCCCGGCCACTGGAGGAGGGTCCCACATGGCGCGCAGAGCGCAGACCTCTCCTGCCGCCCGCTGCTCCCCTCAGCAGTGTACTTCGGTCCTTCTGCCTGTTCTGCTCCCCGCTCTGGCTCTGGTGAATTCTCTCACCCTCCCGCGCTTCTGACTGTACCCAGTGCATTTATAAACAAAACAAACAAACAAACAAATAAACAAATAAAACATGCCTCTATTAAAAAAAAAAACATTAAAAAAAATTTCCCTGTTAAATAGTTCTAACACCTTGTCACATGATTTCATTTTGTTGATTGCTTTGTCTACAGAAAAAGTGTTTTTTTTCTTGCATTTTCATATGCCTCTTTTTTTTGTTGTTTGTTTAGAACAGACATCAGATTTTGTACATTAGAAAAGAGATGAATATTTTTTGTATGTGGAAATTGGCACATGTTTACCTTCTGTCAGGCCTTCCTTGTTTGGCATTTAAGTTAACCTAGTAGTAGTTGGGTTTGAGTTGAGGTTGGTTATTTCTGTGCTTACCCTTCATGTACCACAGACTTAAAATGTTATTAGGAATACTTTTTGTGTAGTGTTGATCTGTTTTGCCAGATCATTTTTCTCCATGTCTAATTTATCCTAAGATTTGTCTTCTACTTCCTTTGAAGGGAGTGTTTATCACTATTCAGTTGCAACTCTTCCAACAATATTTTGCTATTAGTTGTTGGATGCTTGTTAGACTGATGGTGACAGGGGCCAGGAGAGTTACAGACTTTGTTTTATTCTGATTAAACCTCAATCCTGACCAGCACTTCTCTATTCACTTCTCTATTCATCTCTCCTAGGTGCCATGACTTAATTTGCAAATACAGCTGTAAACAGGTGCACCCTTAGGAGGAAACTAGCCCTGATTTTATGATTTTATGGAATGACCTCATAGTAAATGACTAGTTGAGCTCTTATTACAGGGATTCTTTTAGAACTTTTGTTCTTTTTCCTAGGCACCATACTAATCCTGTGGGTACTGAGTGGCGTTGGAAGATGGACCAGCCTGAAATGATCTTAAAGGAAGCCATTGAAAATCATCAGAGCATGATCAAGCAGTTTAAAGGTATTTATCTTTCCTTTACAAAGGAATGCTAATAGTCTTAATTGAATTGGCAGGGGAATTTCCTCTTTGGCAGAATTTTGTCACCTCTGGCAAATTTTCATATAGTAAAGTGAAAACTGTATAGAAATACTACATATTTTTTTGGCCTCTTAAATTTTACTGATAACTTATAACCTATATGATGGAAGAACTAAAATTTTAATTCAAACCATAGCATTTTATAACAGGGTACTCTTAGCGTCTGTTTTGTCTGAGAATGTGTCATCATCCTTCCTATAATCTTTTGCTATTTTGCCTTCCTGAGCACAAAGCAACCTTCTGAATGGACTGAAAATTTTAGATTACTGGAAATTTAAAAATAAAGTCAGTATCGGGAAAAGAATTTTTTTTTAAGATTTATTTATTTATTTATACAAGCACTGAGTACAGTCAGAAGCGCAGGAGGGTGAGAGAATTCACCAGAGCCAGAGTGGGGGGCAGAACAGGCAGACTGATGAAGTGCACTGCTGAGGGGAGCAGCAGGTGGCAGGAGAGGTCTGCGCGCCATGTGGGACCCTTACCGGGTAGCCGGGGATCAAACCGGCGCTGCAGAGGCTGCGGGCAGCTTCTCAACCCAGCTCTCAACCGCTGCACCACCGGGGAGGCCCAGGGGAAAGGAATTTTTAATAGATGCTCTATAATGATACGATAAAGTTCTGCCCATCAGGTTCTAGAATTTCCTAATCTAGTTCTATCTCATACTTAAAGGTGTTTGACTTTACTGGCAACTATAGATTCTCAAGTGTTACTGTACATCAGAATCATTTGGAAGACTTGTTAAAACATGGGTTTCTAGTCTCCCTCCCCAGAGAATAATTCAATAAGTCTGAGATAGGGATCAAGAATGTGTATTTCTAATAGATTTCCAGGTGGTGTTGGTGTTGAACTGAAACCTACTATTGTAGGGAGATACGGTAGATAATGATGGCTTCATAAAGTCACAGCTGCAGATGATGATGGACTGAAATTTGTTAGGTTCCCTGTTAAATCTATGCTTCTCTCTCCATCTACCATTTGTAACTTCTCTCTTGTATTCTGTTCTTTCACAGGCAACAATAAAAAGTGAATTATAACAGGTTATTTTGATATAGAGAGTGGTGCTAACATCATATGAGATTCTTTGTAAACTTCAGTAATTAGCATTTTGAAGATCAAGATTTTTTTTTTTTATGCTAAGGAATTTGTTGTATCAGGTTACTGCTTAAGATTATAGTACATTTCCAACACTTGTTTGTTCTGGCACCACCAGATAGTTCTCCAGTTCTCAATAGACACTGACTGGGTGTTATAACTCAATTCTAACATTATTTACAGATAGTGTCAGACCTTACAAGTCCTATAAAATTGCCCTCACTTCAGATACCGGTCACAAGTCTAGGTTTTTACTTTGTTACAGGACAGGGAGAAGGGCACCCTAAAACCTCCAAACCTGCCCGCACTAAATAGATTCTGCAGCATCAAGACAAAACATACTCTAGATTATAACACCTTCAATGGAAAGGAACTTTAATACAATTAGTGTGCAATACAGAAAAGGGAAAGAATAAAGTTTCCAAATCAAGCACCTGAAGTTCCCTATTCCCTTGTGGGTAAATGTCCAGCCAAACAGGGTTGGCCCAAAGCAGGGCCTCTGAGGCCCAAAGCCTGCCGCAAGTCTAAAGTACCTTCTGGTTGGTACCCACAGAAAAGGTTCAGAAACAGCCAGAGAAGTCTGGAAGGGAAAGAGCAAAATCAAAATCAAGATAATTGCTGTCATTGTTAACCTCTCCACGGGTCTCTCATCCACATCTGTTTTAACCAGTCCAGGACCAAAAACCAAGCACAGCTTCTTCACATGTCTCTTTGCTCCACATGCTTCCTCCAGGTCTCCTTTTCGCTCTTCATCTTTCTCCCTTTCTTCCCCAGTCTTCTCTCCAGCTTCTTTTCTCCTCCTTGTTGAGCTCCACAAGGGTGGGACAGAAACCTGGCACCTCCCCTTTTCCTGGAGACCACCCCCGTACAACTTGTTTTTCTGACCTACTTGATATAAATTGGTTTCCATGACCACCTGCTCAGATTCAATTATTTTGGTAGAGTTTATTTATAAAGGTTAGTGTACAAGATGCTGGTGACCAGCCATATGAAGGGTTAGGAGAGTCTGTCCCTGTTGAATTGGGTGCTCCAACTTCCTGGCATATGAATGGAGCTCATCATCTCTTTGTTCAAGAATTTTTATAGACCTTAAGCTGTAGCCCTCTCCTCCACTTCCCACAGGTCCATGGGTGTGGCTGACAATTCCAACCCTCTGATATTTGGTCTTTATGGTCCCATCATAGGGCCTCAAAAGTTTGTACCTTCAGTCGCCTCATTAGCATAAATCATTGTGCTTTAAAGGGGCTTCTTATGAGTGACAAGAAACTATCACTAAGAAAATCCCAAAGATTTTAGGAGTTTTATACCAGGGACAAAGACCAAATTTATTGATTATTGTGTCTTATTGTCCTTATTTCTTATGAGAAATTGAGATAATACAAATAATGATTTAAGACCGATAGTAGTTTATAAAGATAGTCAATAACATACTTTTTTATTCTTTTTTTAATTTTCTAGGGAAAGTTGACTTGTACATATTAGTGTATTATATGTGCTAATTTATTTTTGTATTTGCAAAGATGCTAAGCATTTTTTAGTATATTTTCTTGCCTTTTACTCTCAAGCACTTTTTTGAGGAAAAAATTAGTTTCTCTTATTTGGATAAAGCAGTATCTCTTACCAGTCTTTTGGAAAATCAAAGTCAGAGTCAATATGATTTTTTTTTTTTTTTTTGGTGGGTGGATGGTTGTAGGGAGAAAGATTGAGGTGGAGAGAAAGATTGATTTAAGGAGTTGGCTTACATGATTGTGCAGGCTTAGTGAGTCTAAACAAATCCAATAAGATAAAAATAGACTGCATACTCAGAGAAGAGTTGCTGGTCAAATCCAAAGGCAGTCTTCTGGCAGAATACTCGCTTGCTTGAAAGAAGTCTTCATTTGTTCTAGTAAGGCTTTCAATTGATCATATGAGATTCATCTACATGATTGAGAACACTCTGCCCTACTCACAGTCCACTGATTTAAATGTTAGCTTCATTCAAAAGGTACTTTTCACAAAAACATCCAGAATAATGTTTCACCAAGTATCTGGGCACTGTGGCCCAGCCAAATTGATACATAAAATTAACCATCACGGGTAGTAATATCAGAAGCAAGTAAATGCCAATAATTTTATTTTTCTATACTAGTAAGTTTCTTTTGGTTTAGTGCCTTAAGAGTCAATCAAACCCTTAAGTAGTAGGTTGATGACTGAGGGTATGTGTTTCCTAAACACCCTAGAACCTCCCTGAATAAAACATGTCCCTGACTTGTCCCAGACAGTTTGTGTGGGAATGAAGCAGCCCTGAGAAGTACATTCACTTTGCATTCTGAGATGTCCTGATATCTGGGTTTTGATAGTAATTTTTCTGACAGGAACATTTTTGCAAATGCACTTAAATGAAAATAAGTAATGAATAAATCATGAGCCCAACTTTATTCATGTTGATAGCATGTGTTAGGTGAGCTCAGTGAGCACATGTTCTTTATTGTATGCAGAGCTTGTCCTGTGCAGAGAGGTCTATATGATTAGTAACCTTGTGCTTACTTTAATCAGCAGGCATCCCAAGTGGTTTATCTTCCTTCAGGTTCTGAGGGTGTAAGAAACAAGTGAGTTTCGAAATATATATTGTCTTGTGGGAGGGTGATAGGTACAAGATTGCAGGGGAGAGGGGGAAAGAATGGGCACATATCTGAGGGAAAGTGAATCCTGAATAGAGGATAGAATACCTAATGGGGAGAGAATGTTCCCTAGAAATTCAACAACAGCCATTAGTTTCAGTTTAAAAAATAGTTTTTTATAGGATCTCTCTATAAATAGATATCTACTATACTACTCACAAAGTATTCTTTTTTCATACCTTAATTGCCTTGATGAAATGTTGCTACATCAGCAAAACATCTATTTAATGAACAAAATAGAAAGGTTTTCAGATTGGAACTGGTTGCTATTTGTATACCAACACTCTTTGGGGTGCCAAGGCAGTTTTTCTTTAAGGTAGTAGCAGAAAACAGTTGTATTATTTCAAAGTGTCATAGACAGTTGGTCATCATCTGCAGCACTGAAAAGACAAAATGTCAATAGTTTTCTTTTTTAAAACATTGTAAATCTGGCAGAATTATAGAACTTTAAAATGTTAGAATATTAATATGTGTTCTATCTTCTTGACTCTCAGCAGAAAATAGTCTAAACTGTTCAAATTGTTGGTGGTTTATTTTATTGTAGACTTTCACTAGGCACTGTAATTTTATAACTTCTCAGTTCTTATCAATATCAATGGTTTAAGTTTTCTTTTTCATGAACTCTGTTCCTCCTGCAGTCAGTGAATTCTGTATGTCTTATCTTTTATTTGTCTCTAAGGGATAGGGTATAAATAAAACTATTTGCTTTCTGGATAGTCAGCCCCAGAGTAAGGATGGTGAGGCTACTGCGAATTACTCTACCTCTTCTGAGCCCAGTGCCCTTAGCTGGGTTCAGCCATAACATGGGTTCTACTCTTGAGCTCTAAAGATGTAGAAATGTAACTCTGGGTATCATTTCGGCTTCTAGTGAAGGGTCTATTCTCTATCTTCCTTAAATCTGAACTCCTCAATGGAGATTAGCCTGGAGAAATGGCTTGTCTCTTTTTGATCTAAAGGTGCTCACTTATAGACGCTCTGCAGGAAACTAGCCCTTTTTCTGTTTTTCCATGCCATATTAGAGTTTTTCTATTAGAGCCCCCATGCTGTTACTCTATGTCCCCATGTGGATTAGAAAAGCACAAGATAAAAAACCAAAAGGAAAAGAGTGTTTTTGATTTCCTTACTTGAAACTTGAAATGCATTTTCCTACAGGAAAAAATTATTTGAATT